ACCGGATTTCGGGAGAAGATGAAGCTCAAGCCATGGATCTTGATACATTAGCTATGGATGTAGAAGGGATCTTGAATAATGAAGCTAAATGGTGATGGTGTGTTGAGGAAGAAGATGAATAGTAAAAGAGAGGCTAGGGTTTTGTGTGTTGTGGTGTTGGGAGACAAGGGGGACAATTCTATTTATAGCATGTGTAGAAGACTTAGGGTTTCTTGTGTGTGTTGGGCTTTTAACAGGCTAGAGAGTCGGGCCTAAAAATTACTACATAATCGGGCTAGAATATAAATCGAATAAGAACTTAGGAAATTAAATGCTCGGGCTTGCTAAATAATATTAATCGAATTCGGACTAATTAAATTAGTCGGTCGAAATAATTACTAATAATGAACCCAGAATTAAAATCGATTGCCTGCTTGATTTTAAAATGGACTGGAATAAAATTGGACTTGGGCTCGATATAATTAAATTATCCGGCTTCGGATCACTTAAAAAAAATTTCAACTTTAATAATTAAAGTCGGAAGAATTATTCATGGCTTAGACTTTAATTCTAATTATTTAATTTAATGCTAATAAATATAAATAATGCATTAGATTTAAAAATTAATATTTATGGAAATATAGTCGAGCTCCATAAATAGTAAATAAAAATATGGGCGTTACAATCTATTCTCCTTAAAATATTTCCGTCCTCAGAAATTCCAAAACTAAATATAAGTCCGACTCGACTATAAACTAGAAATCGAAAATACATAATACTAATCAGAACTGGAAATCAGGATAACGAGCACGAATCTCCTCCTCCCGCTCCCACGTGGCCTCGGCCTCACCGTGGCGAGTCCACTTGACTCGAACGAGCGATACATCTCTGCTCCTCAGTTGCTGAACCTTTCGGTCCAGAATAGCAATCGGCTGCACCTCGTACGTCAGGTCCTGCCCGACGTCAAGCTCACTGTAACTCAACACGTGCGATGGGTCATACACGTAATCCTTCAGCATTGAAACGTGGAAGACGTTATGCACACCCGAGCTCGGGTGGCAACGCCAACCGGTATGCGGCCTCACCCACTCGCTCGAGGATCTCGAATGGGCCTAAGAAACGGGGCTGCAGCTTCCCCCTCTTCCCGAAGCGGACGACGCCTCTCAAAGGCGTGATCTTCAGGAATGCCTTATCTCCCTTCTCGAACTGGATATCTCGTCTACGCTGGTTAGCGTAACGCTTCTGTTGATCCTGTGCCACCTTCATCCGCTCACGGATCAAGGCGACCTTCTCCACCGTGTCCTCGATCAGCTTCGGACCGAGAACCTGCCGTTCGCCGACCTCATCCCAATAAAGGGGTGATCGGCACTTGTGACCGTACAACGCCTCGTACGGTGCCAACTTGATCGACGCCTGATAGCTGTTGTTGTACGCGAACTCAATCAACGGCAACAACTCCTCCCATGAACTACCACGGTCCAGAACACATGCTCGAAGCATGTCCTCGAGTGTCTGGATGGTCCGCTCCGACTGCCCGTCGGTCTGCGGGTGGAAAGCGGTACTGAACCTCAACTTCGTCCCCACGGCCTCGCTGAGGCTCTTCCAGAACTGACTGGTAAAACGGGGATCTCGATCTGACACTATGACCTTGGTGACTCCATGAAGTCGCACTACCCCGCGGATATAGATACTCGCGAGCTGGTCCATGGACATCATCATCCGCACGGGCAAGAAACGAGCCGACTTCGTCTGTCGGTCCACAACTACCCAAACCGCATCATGCTGCTCTCTCGATTTGGGTAGTCCCGTAACGAAATCCATGGTAAGCTCTTCCTACTTCCACAGTGGGATCTCCAAGTGCTGCACTAAACCCGGTGGAAACTTGTGCTCGGCTTTCACCTGCTGGCAAACCAAGCACTTCTTCACAAACTCAGCAACATCTCTCTTCATGCCCCTCCACCAAAACGACCCTTTCAGGTCGTGGTACATCTTGGTGCTGCCGGGGTGCGCCAAGTAGGGTGCACTGTGAGCCTCGGTCAAGATCTCCTTCCTCAGGGCCTCGACATTCGGCACAACGAGCCTTCCCTTATACTCCAAGGCACCATCTGCGCCTCGGTAAAACCCCTCTACGCCCTCGGCAACAACCTTCACCCTCATGGAACGGACGAACTCATCAACAGACTGATCTCTCTGAACTTGATCTCGGAGCATGGGCCACACTCTCATCGACCGAACACCTCCTACTACAGGCATCGTAGGAAGTGACTCGACGACGTCTAACTGCATCCGAGCAAACTCTCGAAGGAGCTGACTCTGCTGGGTGATCATGCAAGTCAACTCGCCCCTCGCCTTTCGGCTAAGGGCATCGGCTACTACGTTCGCCTTCCCCGGATGGTACTGAATGGTGCAATCATAATCCTTCACTAGCTCCAACCATCGCCTCTGGCGCATGTTGAGCTCCTTCTGTGTGAAGATATACTGCAAACTCTTGTGATCGGTGTAGATCTCACACCGACCACCATACAAATAATGCCTCCATATCTTGAGTGCGTGAACAACGGCGGCCAACTCAAGATCATGAGTCGGGTAGTTCTCCTCGTGGGGCTTTAGCTGCCGTGAAGCGTATGCGACAACCTTGCCCTCCTGCATCAGCACGCACCCAAGTCCCTGCTTCGAAGCATCACTGTAGATAGTGAAACTCCATGTAGGGTCCGGTATAGTCAGCACGGGCGCTGTAGTCAACCTCTCCTTGAGCTCCTGAAAGCTCGACTCACAGCGACGACTCCACTCAAACTTCGTCCCTTTCCTCGTCAAACGTTTCAAGGGTAGGGCTATCTTCGAAAACCCCTCGATGAACCTCCTGTAGTAGCCTGCTAACCCGAGAAAACTCCGTATCTCGGTAACCGACCTCGGTGCTGACCAGTTCCTCACTGCCTCGATCTTCCCGGGATCAACCTCAATGCCCTCGGCCGTAACGATGTGACCGAGGAACGCCACTCGATCGAGCCAAAACTCGCACTTCGAGAACTTGGCGTACAGTCTCTCCCGTATAAAAGTCTCCAACACGATCCTCAAATGCTCCTCGTGCTGGGCTGTGCTCCTCGAGTAGACCAAAATGTCAACTATGAAGACGACGACAAACTGGTCCAAGAATGGGTGGAATACACGGTTCATGAGATCCATGAACACCGCCGGCGCATTGGTCAAGTCGAACGGCATCACGACAAACTCATAGTGACCGTATCGAGTACAAAACGCGGTCTTAGCCACGTCAGAGTCCTTGATATTCAGCTGGTGGTAGCCCGATCGCAGATCTATCCGAGAAAATACACGGGCGCCCCTCAGCTGGTCAAACAAATCCTCGATACTGGGGAGTGGATACTTGTTCTTCACCGTCAACCGGTTCAAGTCCCGGTAATCGATGCACATACGCAAAGTCCCGTCCTTCTTCTTCACGAAAAGGACAGGTGCTCCCCACGGAGAGACGCTCAGTCGAATGAAACCGAGACTCAAAAGCTCCTGAATCTGAGCCTTCAACTCCTGAAGCTCCTTCGGCGCCATACGATACGGCGCTTTCGACACTGGCCCGGCTCCAGGCACCAGGTCGATCGTGAACTCCACCTGACGACTAGGTGGTCCTCCCGGTAGCTGATCTGGAAAGACGTCCACGAAATCACGCACAATGGGTACATCTCCGGGCATCCGCTCCTCCGAAGGTTCCCCGACTATGCTCACCAGGTATCCCTGGCAATTCCCTCTCTGCAAACACTTAGTCGCCTTCGCCATCGAAATGACTCGGGGTAGGGTCCTCGTCTTCGTCCTGAAGAACGTGATACGATCTCCCTCGGCTAAGTGTAGTGTCACCTCTCTATCATGACATCGAATGCCTGCCTGATATCTCTCCAACCAATCCATGCCGAGAATGAGGCTAAAGTCCCTCATCTCGATCACGAACGCATCCACCTCTAAAGTTCTGCCACCAATACTCATACTAAGATCCTCGGCCAAGGAGCTCGTAACTATCTTCCTCCCCGAAGCTAGGCTAACCTCGAGGGGGTCGACGGCACTCACTCCTCGGACCCCTATGGCCTCTAGACACTTGGCCGAGACGAACGAATGTGTCGCCCCGGAGCCGAATAATGCAAAGATAGGCACATCACACAAAGAAATCATCCCGGACATGGTACCTGGCTGCTCGGCGGCCTGTGCCTGGTCAAGTGCATAGACGCGTACTGGTGCTCCACGTGGCTGGTTCGGGGCCGGCTGACGCTGACCCTGCTGATGCTGAACTCTGTCTGGGCAATCCTCCCTCCGGTGTCCTGGCCTCCGGCAATGGAAGCAGATGCCTCGCCCAGCAAGACACTCACCAGGATGGTGGCGCCCACATGTAGCACAGGCTGGTACAACCTGCTGAAGTGGCTGAGCGGGCGGAGCTGGGGCTGGGCCCCTCGGTCTGACCCTCCTGTCCTGGCGGCCTCTGCCTCTCCTCTTGTTCTGGCGCTGCGCTGGCTGAAGTGGTGCCTGCTGTGGTGGCGGCAGTGCAGGCTGCTGTGCTGGTGGCTGATGAGCTGGCTGGCGGGCGGCAGTGCGAGTACGAATGGCCCATAGTCGGAGACTCTCATCAATCTGCTGAGCCCTAGAAACGGTCTCAGCATAAGTCAGGGCACCAAGGCCAGCGAGATGGTGGCGAATCTCCCCGCGAAGACCGCCCTTGAAGCGCCTCGCCCTCGTCTCCTCCGTATCAATCAGGTACGGCACGAAGAAGCCGAGGCGAGTGAAGTCCCTCTCATACTCATCGACAGTCCTAGCACCCTGCTCCAGTGCTAAGAACTGCCTCTCCATCCTCTCTCTGTAGTGGGTCGGGTAATACTTCTCCCGGAGGAGCGCCTTCAGGCCAGCCCAAGTGAGGGCCAGCTTCTCCCCGGGTCGCATCTCCAGTACGAATGCCACCAGAGACCTGCATCCTCTATCATCTGTAGCTGTGCACACATGATACTGTGAGGCTCGGGGCAGTCCATCACCTCAAAAATCATGTCAAGGCTGCGCAACCACTCATCGACAAGCCTCGGATCTCCTTGCCCATTGAACGTCGCAGGGTGGTATTCGCAGAACTGAGAAACTGAAAAGGCCTGATCGCGCACTGGCGCGGCCGGCGGGGGCGGTACTAGACGCGGACCTGGTTCGGGCGAGGCCCGTGCTCGGCGTGGAATCGGGACTCGACGAGGAGGCATCTGATTGGTCAATGACAGGGATTAGCAGGAAGTATTAAATAATTGACGGAGAATTAATTACGCAGAATGGTTAACAGAAATTCTCAAAGTTAACTATCTCTGCTGAAATTCTAACTGAAGCAGTATAACCGATTAATAAATAGCTACACTATACTTTAATAAGTTATCGAATTTCGAAAACACCTAGCTTGGCTAGAGTTCCGGTTGCACTAAAATCTTCTAAGTTCTTACTAGAGTTCTGACTAGAATTCTCAAATCTTAATCGAAGGATAGATCTAACGCCCCTGAAATAATCTGAATATAATTAAATATTGTTAGAGGTATGCTGTAAAAGCTGTGTTTTGCAGTTTCTATCAATTCCA